TACCCTTGATAGCCTTGAGAATGGCCGCCATTTGTTTACTTACATTGCTAGGGACACTATTGCAAGCAGAAACATCTCCCTTAACCCCTACCAAGTATTGCTTGAACCTAAATACCCCATTACTAGTCACTTTTTTTACAGTAATTACAAATAATTTTATCTTTTTTGTTGGGATCAAGTCTGACCCCATGTTGCCATGCAAGGTCTGCCTTGGAATTTGTCATGGTTCAACTATTTTAAGATGTAAATGGTTAAAAATGAACCTGACAATTCAGCATAAAAACTAATCACCATATGTACTGATAATGTGTAGGGGTAGTTCATGAAGTTATCATTGTTGTTCATGCAAAATACTTCTACTGACAAAAATGTTTTAGTTCTTACTGGCAAAAATAATGGAACATTATAGATAAAAATAGTCTATATCAGCCAAACCTAGAATCAAGAAAAAATAATAATTACAATGCTATAGTATCAATAAAAAAAAAAAATACAACGATATAGTCATTCATAATGCCACCAACTCACCACATATCTTCTTCTTGAAGAAAAAATTAACAAATAAAAGTTTTTATTGCATAATAATTATACATTCATGACTTACTTAATTATGTATCAAACAAAATTGAATTATATATCTAGATCAAGAACATAGATTTTAGTGCATTAATAAAATTGACAATAAATTAAAAAATAAATATGCATACCTAAAATTCGAATTTATTTTATTTATGCAACATTATAGATAAAAATAGTGCGTATCAGCCAAACCTAGAATCAAGAAAAAAAATTATTTACAATGATATAGTCATTCATAATGCCACTACATGTAGACTTGCCACATATCTTCTTTTTTATGATAAAATTAAAAAATACAAGTTTTTATTGCATGATAATTATACTTTCATGACATACTTAATTATGTATCAATCAAACTTGAATTATATATCTACATTGAAGAACAAACATTTTAGTGCATTAATAAAATTGATAATAACATTAAAAAATACATATGCATACCTAAAAATTTGAAGCTAATTTATTTATGCAACATTATAGATAAAAATAGTCTGTATAAGCCAAACCTAGAATCAAAAAAAAAAACATACAGTCATTCATAATGGAACTACATGTACTGTAAGGACCACAAATTTTTCCCCCATCATGCGGCGCTCAAGACGATAGAGGCCGTGGAGGGGCAGCGCCATGTGTCTAGTGGAGGAGGCCCGCACCAGGCGATAAGATTGGACTATCGCTGCGAGTGTAAGGGACTATCGTCGCGAACGTAAGGGACTATCGTCGCGCGCATAAGGGACTTTTGCCGTGCGCGTAATGGACTACCACCGTGCGTGTAAGGGACTATCGCCGCACACATAAAAGACTACCGCCGCGCGGATAAGGGACTATCACCACGCGTGTAAAGGACTATCATCGCGCGTGTAAGGGACTATCGCTGCCCGTGTAAGGGACTATCGCCACGCGTTTAAGGGGCTATGAACACGCGAGAATTGGAGCATCGCCGCTCGAGAATGAAGAATAGGGTTGACACCGTGCATGAAATAGGAAGATGTGACCGCTACCATCGTCGCACTTGTCTGCGTCGTACGTGTCAGTGCCACTCCTGTCAGAACCATACCCATCAGCTACAGTTACCTTCACCTAACCCCTGAGTACTTAAGCTCTCCCCCTCCCTTATTTCCACCTCCTCCCTCATTTTCTCAACTCTCCCAACTCTCACTTTCTCTCTCTAAAGCTCAAGCGTGAGCCCTCTGCTATTGTTGTATCTTTGAAAAGCCTCTGCTTGGGGTTAAGGAAAACCATCAAAAGCCATGACGGAAGGTTAAGGGCACCGTGAGAGGCAATGTCAGTGGGTTTAACTCTTATGCATCCATGATGGGTAGAATGATAGAATGAAGATGCATTGTATGAATGGGTTGATGGAAGATTGAAATTTTAGATTCGTGCTTCTCAATGCCATGATTGATTCAACAATGTAAATGATCGAAATCTCATGAAATAGTTCATTGTGAGACTTGATAACAGGAACAAGGTCCCACGCCGTAAGGGTACCTTGGCCATGAAACATTTAAGTGTTCTTTAAATGAATGTTAACTTGAGAATAAGAATTTCCAATACAGTGACTATTTTTGCATCAAATGTTCAATGACCAAATGGTATACAAATAGGACCAAATCAGTCTCAAATAGAATGTCTACTTCAAGTTTTCTTTTTATGTCATGATAAAATCTCACACATATTGAAAGATATAGCCCAAAATGTAGAGACATGTCACTGCTCACAGTCGTCATAAATTCCAGAAACCGTGACCCTTGTTGGGCCGTGCTTTTGGCCTAGAAAATGATGCCCAAAAACCTTCAAATTTCCACCATTGGGAAGATCTTTGAATGTACTCAAAGTTGCATATTGAACCCATTTTAAAATTCCCCATAGAATGAGAGTTATGCCCCAAAATATGATGATTTGTCATGGTTCACTGTTGCAGAAAGCTTAGCGCCATGTCCGCAACACTGTGTTCGTAGAGTCGTACGTGCAATGCCTTGCGCTTAACAACATGCGTGTAACACTATGCTCGTAATGCCGTGCACAAAGCGTCATGAGCGCAATGCCGTGCACGTAGCGCCGTGCGTGTAGCCCCGTACGAGTAGCGCCGTCTATGTAACGCCGCCTGTGTAAAGTCTTCAGTGTTATCTTTGATAGGTAATAAGCATGAATGTTATGTGAAAATTTTCATGTGATGAATACTAAATGCGACAAGATCATGTAAATGGTGCTATGCGGCTATGCATTATGTGAAAATTGATAAATTTCATGCCTCTGTGATAGCTCCATGACAAATGTTACATGACAAGTGACGTAATGCTAATGTTGATTGTTAAATATAAACGCAATGTGATGGCCCTCATAGAATGGGTGTTTTATGATAAGTGTCATGACATTATGTGACTTTTAGATAGTTTTGAGTAAGACACAAATATTGCATGATGAAATTTGGAATTATCTATCATAAGGCACTGATTTAGTATGAATGAATTAAATGTTTGAGCATGTTATGATGTTGTGATATTGGCCACTACGTAGTGGGACGCTCACCGGTAGTGCGTATTGTTATGAAATTGTGTTGAATGGCCACTACTCATGCGGATATTGGCCACTACATAGTACGACACTCACCAGTAGCGGTTACTGTTATAAATCGCCTGCTATGTGATGGGGCACTTATCAGTAGTAAGGAAAGTGATGTCAGCATATTCCCCAACCTGCATAATGATAGGAACGGTTTAGGTGAGAGGATAGAGGATAGGGGGTTGCACCCTAAATTCATAAAATGAAATGAAATGAGATAAGATATACGATTGATGCCTTGCAAGGTAAGGGTCTATCGAACCCTCAATGCGCACTTGTGACTATGTGCATGTGTTGAGGGTATTACGAAGTGGATTACCCCACTTATCATTACCACCCCCTCCTATGAGATGGTAGAGGTCTTTCTTAAGCAATGGGATTGGCTTAGTCTGATGGATAGGGCCTCTACTGTGGGAGTAAATGGTTTTGGGAGTGAGAGGGTAATGGTTGAATTTTCTGAATAAGGAATGTTTTATAATTGCACTGCTGGAATGTTAATGATTACACTGATTGAATGCTCATGATTGCACTGATTTAATGTTGACTGTCATTTAAATGTAATGTTCATATTCGATGTCTTGACCTGATATTCATACTAAACTATGACTTCATATTGAGGGGTTGAATGGTTATCCCACGTGAATATAATTTCTATAGATGCATAACGCTAGACCTTCTTACTGGGCTTTCGAGCTCATCCCATTATTTTTCTTTCCCCTCCTTGTAGACTGAGAGCAACAGGTCCAGAGTCGGGAGCACGAGTTGCAGTTGGGGAATCAGAGCAGCCACCTCGAGAGGGAGTTAGTGCTTGTACGAGGTCGGGCTCTTAGCCCAATTTGTAATTGTTTTATGTAAACTCTATAATCACGGGCATCGGTGCCTAGAACTTTATTATAGAAATTTTGGAGAGGATTTTAATGTAATATCTTTTTAATTTTTGGGTTTTCCAAGTTTTTAAATTGTTTGTAGTATTTCCATGGTTTGCTCGATTATCGAAATTAAAGGCGCTAAGTCCACTCTGGCATGAGTGACAGACGTTACATTGGGATCACGAACCCGCACTCAATCACTTGTCGCAAAGTAAGGTATGGTGGTTGAGGGCAGGGTCGTGACAGTTATGGTATCAGAGCAGCTATGATAGGATTTTTGGCCAAGGGAGTTAGGAGAGTCCTTAGATTAGCTTTGAGGTAGACTAGTGTCTAGGTGTTCTTGTGACTAGGTTAAAAGATGTTGAGAACTCGTAACCACAATGCGAATTCCAGTAATGAAAATATTGAGGCACTCAACAAGTTCTACAGGACTCTGGGGACTATGACCCAAATGATGAAGGAATCGATGTCAACCCATTTTACCCCTACTCCAGAGCAGAATGACAGTAGCCTCATGGAGAGGTTGAGGAGAATGGCAACCCCAACCTTTTGGGGCAGGGAGGAGTGGAGAAGGCTGATAGGTGGAAGACGTGAATAGAGAAAATTTTAGAGGTGTTACACTGCTCGGATGAGCAAACGGTTAGGCTAGGGGGCTTTATGCTAGAAGGGGAAGAAAAATACTGATGGGACTCGGTGAAGCAGACTTGGAGGGAGGCAGGGATCGAGGTCACCTGAGAGAACTTTTTGGCAGCATTTGACGAGAAGTATTTCCCCGATTTAGTCAAGGAAATGAAAGAAGTAGAATTTATTGAACTCCAGCAAGGGAATATGAATGTCAAACAATACACCGCCCTGTTTGTAGAGCTCTCTAGGTATGCGTCCCACATCATAAATATCGAGAAGTAGAAGGTGGCTAAATTTGAAAGGGGCTTACAACCAAATATCAAAAGTAGAGTGATGTCGGTCAATATAAATTCGCACTCCCCGATGGTAGACCATGCCCTAAAGATTGAGGCAGACTACGAGGATCGCAGGTCAAGGAATGAAGGAAAAATAAAAGTCGTGCAGTCGGGAAGGTTTGGGAAGAAATCCCAACAGTTTACAAGAAGAAACACCAGAGGAAGGCCATACCCACCTAATCTGAGGATCCCAAAGAGTCTCCCAGGCATTATGGACACAGATCAACGCCTGAATTGTACTTATTGTGGGAGAGACAACCACACTACCGCGAAATGTTATCGAAAGAAGAATGTGTGTATGAAATGTGGCAAGCCTGGCCACTGGGTGAGGGATTGCCCAATGATTAAGCCCGAGGATTGCCCGAAGACCCAAGGTCAAGTGTTCGCACTCACCAAACAAGAGGCCAAGGCATTCACCTCGGTAATCAGAGGTACGATCTCAATTTGTGATATTAATGTTAAAGTCTTAATTGACCCTAGATCCTCTCATTCATTTGTCGTACCCCATTTTGTCTGTTACATGAATGTTGCACCTACATGTCTCAATTATACTTTAGTAGTATGCACTCCTGTGGGAGGCTCTATGGAAACTGATATAGTATATAGACGGTGTAAGCTTACAATTGATGGGTGCGACCTACCTATGGATCTAATCCCCCTAGACATTCAAGACTTTGATGTGATTCTAGGCATGGATTGGTTGTTTACACATCATGCCACTGTCAACTACCATGAAAAGTGGGTAACCTTTAAATGTCCCGACCAAGCAGAAATACACTTCAGGGGCATTAGAGGCAAATCCACAATGCTCCTCATCTCTGCCATCTGGGCCTCTCACCTTCTAGCTAATGAGTGTGAAGGGTACCTAGCTTATGTGGTAGAGAATCGGGGTGTCCAGACCCAGTTGGAAGGGATACCAGTAGTAAAGGAATACCGTGAGGTGTTCCCAGAGGAATTGTTGTCCCTACCGCCAGGAAGAGAAATCAAATTTGAGATAAAAGTAGTACCTGGCACTGCTTCCATCTTCAAGGCCTCGTATAGAATGGCTCCAGTAGAATTGAAAGAGCTAAAAGAGCAGTTGTAGGAATTATTGGATAAGGGATTCATTCGACCTAGTGTGTCACCTTGGGGTGCACCGGTTTTGTTTGTGAAGAAGAAGGATGGGTCCTTAAGACTGTGTATTGACTATAGGCAGTTGAACCTAGTGATGGTGAAAAACAAGTACCCTTTGCCTAGAATTGATGACCTATTTGATCAACTCCAAGGGCCCAGATGTTTCCAAAGATCGACCTCCATTCGGGGTATCACCAGCTGCGAATCAAGGAGGGACTCATCCCAAAGACTGCTTTCAGAACTCGATATGGTCATTATGAGTTCTTAGTGATGACGTTCACGTTAACCAATGCCCCCACTGTAATTATGGATTTGATGAATAGGATGTTCAGACCTTTCCTAGACGATTTTGTAGTGGTATTTATTAATTATATTTTGATTCATTCAAAAAACCAAGAACTACATGAGCAGTATTTGAGAAGTGTCTTGCAAACTCTGAAGTCAAAAAGATTGTATGCTAAATTAAGCAAGAGTGAGTTTTGGCTCCCTAGTGTGTCTTTCCTTGGACACACCATTTCCAAAGATGGGATCACGATCGAACCCACCAAGATTGAAGCCATACTTAAGTGGGAGAGACAGATAAATGTGACCAAAATTCGTAGCTTTCTAGGGTTAGCAGGATATTACAGGCGCTTTGTGGAGGGATTCTCAGAGATAACACTCCCCCTTACTTGGCTGACCTAGAAGAATGTGAGTGGTCAAAGGGTTGTGAAGAGAGTTTCCAGGAACTCAAGAGAAGATTAAACCCAATGGAAATGAAGCTTTTATGGTTTCTACCGATGCATCCCATAAAGGGCTTGGGTGCATACTAATACAAAGACATACGGTTATTGTGTATGCCTCCAGGCAGCTAAAGCTGTACGAGCAAAACTATCCGACTCATGACTTGGAGCTCACGATCGTAGTGTTCACATTGAAAATCTGGAGGTACAACCTTTATGGGGCCCAGTTTAAAGTGTTCACAGACCACAAGAGCCTCAAGTACCTATTTTCCCAGAAGGAATTGAACATCAGGCAAAGAAGATGGATAGACTTATTGAATGATTATGACTGTACAATCGAGTACCACCCAGGCAAAACTAATGTAGTAGCAGATGCCTTGAGTCGCAAAAGTTGTGGTCTCAGTGGCACACTTGATGGTCAGGGAGATGACATTACTAGAAGCTGCAGTGGAATGGCACCGAACTCCACCCCTTGATGATGCGACAGGGATGCTTTCGTGTATGAGGATAGAGCCTCAGCTCTTTCAACAGATCCGGGTGGCGCAAAAAGAAGACACTCAACTTATGAAGATCCTTGAAGAAATAAAAATGTGAGGAAGAGAGGATTTCACTATGAGTTGTTAAGGTTTAAGGGCCGAGTATGTGTCCCTAATGTTGAAAGTATAAAAAGGCCTGTTCTGAATGAAGCACGTCACTCCCGCTACACGGTACACCCAGGGAGTACAAAAATGTATCAGGATCTAAAAAAGACCTTCTGGTGGAACAACATGAAGAGAGAGGTAGCACAATTTGTCGCTAAGTGCTTGACGTGTCAGCAAGTGAATGCGGAACATCAGAAACCCACTGCATTGTTGTAGCCCTTGCCCATACCAATACCAGAGTGAAAATGGGAACACATTACGATGGATTTTGTTTCTGGATTGCCAAGGTCAAGTGCAAGGCATGATAGTATTTGGGTAGTTGTGGACAGACTAATTAAAGGTTCTCATTTATTGCCGGTACGCATGACCTATACCCTGGATAAGCTAGCCCATTTATACATTAGAGAAATTGTGATGTTGCATGGAATACCTATCTGCATCGTGTTCGACAGGGACACCAGGTTCACCTTTAGGTCTTGGGAAAGTTTGCAGTCTGCCTTGCGAATCGGGCTTACCTTTAGCACCGCCTTTCACGCCAAACAAATAGGCAATCAGAGAGAACCATTTAGATTTTGGAAGACATGTTAAGGGCGTGTGTCACTGAATTTAAGGGAAACTGGAGAGACCATTTGCCTCTAATAGAATTTTCCTACAACAATAGCTTCCAAGCCAGTATTCAAATGGCACCTTTTGAGGCCCTGTATGGAAGAAAGTTTAGGTCGCCCATCTATTGGGATGAAGTGGGCAAGAGAAAATTATTGGGGCCCAAAATCGTTCAAATGACCTTTAAGAAGATTGCCTTAATTTGAGAGCAGCTCAAGACAACTCAAAGTCAGCAAAAGAGTTACGTCGACAACCGCAGGAGAGACCTTGAGTTTGATGTAGGTGATAGTGTCTTCCTGAATGTATCACCGACGAAAGGCATAATGAGATTTGGCAAAAAGGGAAAATTGAGCCCACGATTCATTGGGCCTTTTTAAATCCTGGAAGGAATTGGGAGTGTGGCATACCGACTTGCCATGCCACCCGATTTGGTCAATGTTCACAATGTCTTCTATGTATCCCTATTAAGGACGTATCAGCCCGACCCATCTCATGTTTTGGAGTACGAACCAATCTCGATCAGGGAAGACTTTACCTATGTTGAGCAACCAATTGGGATAATAGACAGAAGAGTACAGGTTTTATGCAATAAAGAAATCCCCCTAGTCCGGGTATAATGGCAATATCATTCAAGAGAAGAATCAACATGGGAATGGGAGGATGAAATCCGGGAGACGTAACCGCCACCTTTTATATTAATAACGGTTTCATTTTGAGAACAAACTCTTTTTTTAGGGGGGAATGATGCAAGGACCACAAACTTTTCCTCAGTCATGAGGTGCTCACGACGATAGAGGCCGTGGAGGGGCAGCGTTGTGTGTGTAGTAGAGGAGGCACATGCTCGGTGATAAGATTGGACTATTGCCTTGCGCGTAAGGGACAGTCACCATGCACATAAGGGACTATCGCAACGCACGTAAGGGACTATCGTCACGTGTGTAAGGCACTATTGTCCAGCGTGTAAGCGACTATCATCACGTGCATAAGGGACTAACGCCGCTCGCATAAGGGACTATCGCCGCGCTTGTAAAGGGCTATCGTCGCGCCCGAGAAGGCAAAAGAGGGTTGATGCCGCGCATGAAAAACGAAGATGTGACCACTGCTAGCACCGTATATGTCAACGCCGCGCCTATCAGAACCATACCCGTCAGCTACAGTGACCTTCACCTAAACCTAACCCCTAAGTACTTAAGCCCTCCCCCTCCCATCTTGCCGCTGCCTCCCTCATTTTCTCAACTCTTATTTTCTCTCTCTAAAGCTCAAGCGTGAGCCCTCTGCTGCTGCTGTATCTTTGGAAAGCCTTTGCTTGAGGTTAAGGAAAACCATCAAAGTCCATGAGGGAAGGTTAACGGCACCATGAGAGGCAATGTAAGTAGGTTTAACTCTTATGCATCCATGGTGGGTAGGATGATAGAATGAAATTGTATGAATGGGTTGATGGAAGATTGAAATTTTAGATTCATGCTTCCCAATACCATGACAGATTCAACAATATAAATGATCTTGTTATTCACGAAAACTCGTGAAATAGTTCATTGTGAGATTAGTTAACATGAACAAGGTCCCACGCCTCAAGGGTACCTTGGCCATGAAACATTTAAGTGTTCTTTAAAAGCATTTTAACTTGAGAATAATAATTTTCAGGACTGTGACTATTTTTGCATCAAAATGTTCAGTGACCAAATGGCGTCCAAATGGGACTAAATTAGTCTCAAATAGAAGATACATATGTCTACTTTAAGTTTTCTTTTTATGTCATGATAAAATATCGCACATATTGAAAGATATAGCCTAAAATGTAGAGACATGTCACTGCTCACAGTCGCTGTAAATTCCAACAACAGTGACCCTTGTTGGGACGTGCTTTTGCCCTAGCAAACGATGCCCAAAAACCTTCAAATCGCCACCATTGGGAAGATCTTTGAATGCAATCAAAGTTGCATACTCATTTTAAAATTCCCCATTGAGAGTTATGCCCCGAAATATGATGATATGTCATGGTTCACTGTAGCAGAAAGCTTAGCATCGTGTGTGCAATGCCGTGCATGCAACGCCGTGCGTGCAATGCCATGAGTGCAACGTCATGCACGTAGTGTTGTGCGGGCAACACCTTGCGCGTAATGCCAAGCACATAACGCTGTACACGTAGAGCCATGCGCACAACGTCGTCCGCGTAGTGCCGTGAGCGTAACGTAGTGCATGCAACACCGTGCGTGTAGCACCATGCGAGTAGCGCTATCTATGTAACGCCGCCGGTGTTATCTTTGATAGGTAATAAGCATGAATGCTATGTGAAAATTTTCATGTGATGAATACTAAATGTGACAGTATCATGTAAACGGTGTTATGCGGCTATGCGTTATGTGAAAATTGATAAATGTCATGCCTCTGTGATAGCTTCATGACGAATGTTACATGACAAGTGTCGTAATGCTAATGTTGATTGTTAAGGATAACCGCAATGTGATGGCTCTCATAAAATGAGTGTTTTATGATAAGTGTCATGACATTATGTGACTGCTAGATAGTTTTGAGTAAGACACAAACATTGCATGATGAAACTATTATCTATCATAAGGCACTGATTTAGCATGAATGAATTAAATGCTTGAGCATGTTATGATGTTGTGATATTGGCCACCACACAGTGGGACACTCACAGGTAGTGGGTACTGTTATGATATTGTGTTGAATGGCCACTGCTCATGTGGATATTGGCCACTACAAGGTGGGGCACTCATCGGTAGTGGTTACTGTTATGATATTGCCTGCTAAGCAATGGGACACTCATCGGTAGTAAGGAAAGTGATACTGGCATATTCCCTAACCTGCATAATTATAGGAACAGGTTAGGGGAGAGGATAGAGGGTCGCACCCTAAATTCATAAAATGAAATGAAATGAGATGAGATATACAATTGATGGCTTGCAAGATAAGGGTCTATCAAACCCCTAATGCGCATTGGGAACTGTGTGCGTGTGTTGAGGGTATTACGAAGTGGATTA